TTTAACTATAACTCTCAGCTTGTCGAAAATTCAAACCTTTTACAAAAGTGAAAACACACTTTATATTTACAAAGTTTTATCGCAGGCCTTTCAGAAGCAAACATGAATAATACTTCTGGAGACCTTGTGTGTCCAATGCATGAGCCACGACAAAAAAACGAAAAAATCTTTTTGTGGCCTCAAAAAAACAAAATCGCATCGTGCCACAATGAAAAAAAAAACTGCGAACTTGTAATCTGGCAAGAGTCTATAAATTCTGATGAATTCTACTTCAACAAATTAAGTCGACTTCGAAATGATACAAAATGATCACTAAAATGACTTTAGAAAATTTTTGGTGCTGACTAATCAGTTCCTAAGGAAGGTTCATGTATTTCACTCCATTAACCACCACAAGGGTCATTAACCACACATCTGGTTTAGACAACGAACTGTGTGAGAGCATTGATGTGTATGGGGTCAAGTTTTATCCTCCAACGCATGTCTGGTACAACGTTGCCGACTCTAATGAGATGGAGAGCTGGGTCAATCCATGACGGGGAATCGAACCCGAGACCATCTACGCGTTGCCGGTACACCTCTAAGCACTGTGCTACACGTGATAGCTGTGAGACTAGAGAAGTTTGTTCAACACTAGCGCGACGTATTAACTTCAAAAGCAGTCATATAACACAAAAATAATGGCCGCTTTCAATTTCAAACCAATATGTTTCAGGTCGTAGTGAATTTTATTAATTGCATAAAAAATATTAGATTCCATAGATTTTTGTCTACAAAATTCAAGCTCCCAAGTTTTATCACGATTAACTTCCTGGACTTTACGGGACGTATTTTTCTCTTTTTTCCACTAAGGCTCGTACTTGGGACAGGAAAAAAAATCGAACAGGTAGAATTTCGTCCAGCAGACCACAATGATGTCCTCTAATACACCCCTCGACATTGCGGATACAGCGTTTGCATAGGAAATTTTAAAAATTAAAGTTTTGTGAAATATAACTCGTATGAAGTGCTGAGATAGACGGGTGATTGCTGATGGCAAAAAGATCGATAGAACTAGCTGAGATACATGCAAAGCGAAGGACCCGGATGGTGTAGTGGTGAAGTGCGCT